AACCGCCCCCGTCCCAGCACTGGTAGGAGGGCGGTTGCGGGGTTGCGCGACACGGGCCCGACCCTGGCTGGGGGAGGGGGCGAGGAAGCCCCCCATACGGAGGACTGCTAAGACCTTGGAGCCTTACGGGCTCAGGACTCACCATCACCTCCTGGGGGTCCCCTACACCACGCCACACATACACACCCCGTCCCGCCAAATGCTCCTCACACGGCCCCCTTTCATTCCCCCCCCCCACCCGCGCACCTATTTGCTGCTGCCTGCTCTCCTGCTCGCGGTAGGGGAACCCGTCCTTGAAGTAGTCGGGCTTGGGAATGCTGTCCGGCACCTGCCAGCCGGGGTGGGGCCGGGGTGGGGCGGCACAGGGGTTGCCTGGCTGGCTGGCTGGCTGGCCGGGGTCCAGCAGCCCTTCCGGGCTAAGCGCTGCGGCCTTCCCCCCCTCCTCGCACCCTTTCCGCCGCTTATCTATCATTCATCAGGCCAGGGCAGGGCAGGACAGGCCAGGAGCCCCGGGGTCCGCCGGACTCGTGAGTCCAAATCTGACCCCTTAAGCGCTCAAGGGAGGGGCCCCATTTCCCCCCCTAGTCGGCCCCTCTCCCCCCTAGTCCGCCCGCCCTCCCGCCGCCCCGCAGCTGCACGCACCTCCCTCCGCGGGCTGATGCGGTGCGGCCGCAGAGGTCCCGTCCAGTCGAAGTCGGGCATCACCTCACTGCGCGCCTTGCCGCGCTTGGTGCAGTACAGCCAGGCGTCCGCCGGCGGGGAGTGCACCTTCTTGTGCTCCGGCCAGGCCAGCTGAGCGGAGGAGGTGGGGGGCAGGTACGGAGAGTGCACGGGAGGGATCGCCAGCGGGAATCACGTCATTCACGTGAGTGTGGTGGCGGGCTGGCGGGCAGGCAATGTGTGTTGCACTTGGGTACCGTACGTGGGAATCGTACGTCGAACGGTATCGAGGATATCATGTCGCGTGTTGTTTGGCCACGGAGGTGTACGGACGGACGGACTGGCAAAATGCGCGGCAACTCAACCTAGCGCCGCAAATAGGGCTAAACTACACGGTGCATGGGTTTTAAATGCGGCTTCACAGATATCAAGTCTCCACGGCGGACCCGGCGCCGCTACATAGGTAGCCTGTCAAACTCGGCATATCCTGGGGTGCGCTGAGATTAGATGTTCAACATATAAACAGTACTTCAGCGCGGGAGGGAGGCATTGGTTGCATCCACAGCGGCACACGCTTTGAGGGGACGGTTTAATGGTATCCTGTACGGCGCGACGCCAAGCTTCCCCACAAGAGCGGGCATGTTATGGGTGAAGCCGCTCGTAGGAGCCAAGTTAATTTCCCTTCCACCTGCCACGAACCTTGAAGCATTCCTGCGAGCAGAAGACGCTCGCGTCCTTCGGAAGGCCCAACTTGACACAGTTTGGACATTGCAATTTTGCGGGTGCTTGACATCTGCGAGTCAAGAACTGATGCTAAGCTGGATTTCCATCTAAACCGCCTGTGTGCAGGGTAAATCCACGGCCGCCAGTCCCGCACCGTGCACAGGGTAGCATGCTTGTTTCAATTGATGCCATTTTTCCTTAGATGGCTATCTTAAGCCTTTTTGTAAGCATATAGATCACCGCTCTTGCGATGGCACCGGGACTCTATTTTAACACACAGAACCTAATATACCCTGGCAAACATTAACATATCGAGCCATGAAACAATAACATTTAGCGGCAAGAATTAAATTGCAAACCATTGCAAATGCCATGTGAATGCCGTACGTGATGACTGATCGTCCGCACCTATGATATTTGGTCACATATTTCCACATGGCTGATCTTCTCGCTACTATCCTTTGCCTTACCTGCAAAATATTAGTTCTTTAGGCATATTCGTTAGGAACTGGTAAACCTGTTTGCGTAAGGAGCCCCAAGGTTTTCCGGAACTTACAGCTTACTGGCTTCATGTTCGATTACGTTTTCTTGAAGGGTGAAGGAAACAAAGGCGTCAGCTATAAGCCTACTTGGAAGCCAGAGTTTCGTTTACCGCCTGGCGTCAGTGGCAAGCGCGTCGCATTTCAGGTGCTTCTTCTTTGTGGTATTAGTGCCATTCCGGTGTTCTGGATGTCGTCTAACAGCGAGAGCAGCACAAAGCAGCCCGACATCTACATGATTCAGAAGCAGAAGGCCCGGGAGGAGCGGATGCGTTGGATTGAGTCAGATGACATGCCGGAGCGTTGATTGCGGTGGACGCAACACGGAACAATAGTCTCCGTGCTGGAGTACGGCCCTGACGTATCTCAGCACTAAGGCAGTTCTGTATTGTGATACAGCTGGTGGATGTCGTCTCCTATAAAGGAAAGCAGCACGGAGCAGCTGCATGCTCAGTGGGTCGGGAGGGCGGTTGAGTGGGGTTCGGCTGTATTGTCGGGTGCATGCACATGGGCGTTATGAAAAAGACGCGTGGTGAATGGCCTATTAATAGCGGGCGTGTGGATAGGTACACACGGATGTAGCTGGTGGACCCTGAGCACGAGGGTGTGTGTTTGTTAAGCCGAGCCTATGCGGGTGTATGCACGCCACGGCAATTTAAACTCGTTGCCACGTTAACAGCAGCATGTAAACATGAGTGTGTGTCGTATCAACACGTTCGTGTTTGAGGATGCACACAGATCGGCTGCATACGTCTTAAAAAGGCAGCTGCATGGCCGACAGCGGGTACCATGTGTAGGGGGAAGATGCATTTCGGCGCAGTTGGTTTTGGTGGTGCCTTTGCGTGATAGCCCGGCGAGAGTGTCTTGGCTGCAGGGGGAGACCAGCGTGCCAGCAGAGGTCGCGCTGTATGCAGTCAACTGTGTTTACTGTTATTTGCTCCGCTGGGAAAATGCGGAATCAGAGATAAGCTGCACTGGGGATTTTTGCACTTCCATTCCATTTTACAGGGCGGTCGCACGCGTACACATGCTAGCTAGGTACTGCACACACCGCTGGCTGGGTGGTGCGGTGTAGGCTTTGCTTGCTGACCACTAGCGGGGGGGTAGACGGGGGAGACAGGCGAAGTGAGAGACGCGGGAGATGATCAGGACCGCGCTGGCAGCCTGACTGTTGCCCTTCGGAAGCTTAACGTGCAATGCGATCGATGCGCAGTAGTCTCGGGTTCGATTTCGACGCATTTGAGACGTTTTCCCCAACAGTTACGACTCTGCGGTTATAAGGTAGCGAGGGATAGCCCCATGTCGAGCTAGATGGAGTCGAATGAATGAAAGAAAGGCATCTTGTCCTTGTAACCGTTACAAGGCGGACACGCTGATATGGCCTCGGTGACATGACGTCTCTGGCCGACCTGACCACGACCACCACAGCTCCGCACTGTTCCCCAAATCTTGGGCTTCTTGGCGCCTTCCCCCCAAATCCTACCGTTGCCGACCCGCATGCCGGCTTAGCAATAAGAGCGTACGAACCCCGAAACCCCGCACAGCCGAAATGGAGGGTTAGCTATGAGACACACAAAACCTACGAAATTTTAAATCACCGTACATTCGCCCAAAGTGTACCCGCCATGGGCTTTGAAGCTGGCCCCCGCAGTCCCCGGGGCCGACGCCGAGTCCTCCAACGTGGTGGGTCCAGCGGCGGAGAGAAGTTTGTGACGGTGGAGCGCCTGCAGCGGCCGCTGTGTGGGGGCTCCCGGCCGCACTTCTTCCGCGGCGTGTGTACGGTGGTGACCAAGCTGTTCCACATCTGCGAGCCCGACGTGGCTGTGTTTGGCCGCAAGGTCTACCAACAATGGCGGGTGATCTGTCGGATGGTTCGAGATCTCGAGACTTCCCCGTGGAGGTGGTGGGGATGCCCATCTATCTGCCGGGAGCCGGACGGGCTGGCCATGAGCAGGTGAGACCCGAACCCGGGGGAAAAGATTAGGGGTTAAGTGTGTGTGGGGTGGGTGGGATGGGGTGGGGTGGGTTCGCGGGGAATGCGGCGGGGTGCGGTTGCGGATTTCATATGACTGGCACTCGAGCGCCCCACGTCAGCCGGCAGCTCCCAACAGCCCTAATATGCCTCCAGTAGCATCCTTTGTTGGCGTGTTTTAACTTCTATTCCCCAATGCGCCAAATGACCCCCGCCCGGTAGTCGTTTGCTTCCGTCCCAGACTCTTAACTGCCAACGTTGCCGCGATGGCTACAAACCAAGTCACTACGGGTCCGCACATCGTTGGTCTAATCTTGGGTAGAATACGTCTATCTCTGGAATACGTCTTTCCTTCAATCGTCGCGTGTGATTCGTCGTACCCCACACCCCCAAACACACCCTTTCAGTCGTAACGCTCGTCTGTCCCCCGAGTCGCGGGAGAGGGCCTTATGCATCTCCCGGGGACTGGCTTGGGCTGAGAAGGCGGTGGGCTGAGGGGGCGGTTTCGGAGCCCGCAGTTGAGGGGCCGGATTGAGGAGGGGGGGGGTAACAGTGGACTATGTGGAGGTGAGGGGTGTGTGGTGTGTGTGGGGGGGGGTGCTGAAGAGGACAGGAGGGGGGCAAGGGGCTCTTAAGGTGATGAAAACGGTAAGGTAAGAACTAGAGGAAAAGAACTAAGGGGGAGAGAGGGAGCCGCGTCCTCGTGGTCCCCTCCGCCAACCTGTCCATCTATCGCGCGATGATCTCGTGCTCATGTTCGTACTCATTCCCGTCGTCATGTACGACGAAGAAAACGCCAACAAGCGAGCGGAGGACGTTGTTAGGGTGGCGGGTGGAGCACTAACGGCGGCCGGTTGGCGATGGAGGAGCGGCTGTGACTCGCGGTGGTGTGTGCTCTCTCCCTTCCACCACCACCACCACCACCACCACCACCACTACACCCACACACCCACAACGCACGCCCCCCACCCTCTCCCAACCCCCTCCCCCAGCTGCTCCACGCGCACCACCCTTCCACCACCACCAGCCCTATCAGCGACCTGACCTCCCAACCCGTGCTGCTGGCGGTGGCCGCGCACTTCCCCGCCCGGGACCGGGGCACGGTGCGTCTCATCGACAACACCGTACTGAACGACCCGGGGGACAGCAAGCAGCTGCAGGACCGGACCCAGCAGCAGTAGCATGTGGAAGGGCAGTCGCAAGAGGTGGCGGAATAGCAGTAGCAGTAGCAAGGGGGAGGAGGGGGCTACAGTAGAGGAGCCTGAGGGGGAGCTCGCGTGACCTTGAGCCGGGGTCGATTGGGGGGGGGCCCATCTGTTTCCAGAACGGGCAGGTGGGGAGGGATGGGGAGGGGAGGGATGATGGGGAAGGGCAAAATGCATGTGTAGGTGTGTAGGTGTGTATGCGCGCGCACTCGGGAGAGTGTTGCGGTGGCGGTTCCCCCCTCCGGAGCTGATTGGCTCCTCCCTCCTCACCCGCCATGTGTAGCAGTGCCGTGCAGCGGTGCACCAGCAGGGGGCGGGTCTGGTCGGATTGGGTCTCCGCATCTCTGGTCGGTTGGATAGCAGGGGCGGGGGCAGGGGCGGGGGCAGGGGCAGGGGCAGGGGCGGGGGCAGGGGCGGGGGCGGGGGCAGGGGCGGGGGCGGGGGCAGGGGCGGGGGCAGGGGCGGGGGCGGGGGCAGGGGGGCCAGGGAGGCGACACGGGTTAGCAGGGAACTTGTGGATGATTCCAAGGGGTGTGTGGTGCTGTCGGTGGGTTTGGCGGTGCTGGTGCTGGTGCATACCCCGACAAGCTTGCGATTGCTGGACGCGGGATAGACGTTGTGATATGCGGGAGCACCTCCTTCCTGCCCTTTGCTCGGCCACCAGACCCATCCAATGCTTATACTTCGCCATGTTAATTCCTGGTTGCTTGCCGTCTGACGGGTACCCGTCTGGCTGATCATCTAGACGTGTATGCTTTCAACCACTCATCACTCGATCCTAGAACTCCAATACCACACCTTCTGACTATTGCCTGTTCATTAGCCATTCCACTCGTTCGTCTGCTTCACGTAGCACTTGCGGGACCTCCTTCAATACGTCGTGCCCCAGAAAACTTAGAAAACGGAGCACTAGTACCTTCCATCCAGCCCCTTCCGGGTTGGAGTGGGCCCCAACGATCTCCTGTCGCAAAACATGATGTGCCACAGACCCACGCTGCAAACGGACACGGTTCTAAAAACTCACAATCTGTTTGAAAACGTGGTAGTGTAGGGGTAGCTGTGATAAACTTGCCGCACGAACGACACCTGAAGCTTCACCGCGTCATCTTTCAGACATGCCTCGAAGGCCCCCTCCGCAAGGTTACTCGCATAACTCCGCCTCCTGAGCCTGTCCAAGACCTCAGCTAGCACAAAGGGTCCCACACTTGATACCCATACAACAGCATTGCTCGTACCTGCGTATCAAAACATTTACATCTGTGGCAGCCACAGCGCACCAGTACACCGTACTGGTGCGATTGCGAAGAAGGACGATCATACCCATAACATCATAATCCCACACGCTACAACACCCCCCAACCCACCCTGGAGCGCCTCCGTGATTTCATCCATTCCTGGTTGAACAACATGCATGTCATCACACCACACACAGAGTACCGCACTCAGCAACCCGCATCGCACTCAGTTGAGCAGATGATGTGATGCAGCTTGGATTTCGAAGCCTGTACCGTGCTTGTGATGTAAATGTGTATGCCGGCAGTGGAGGCTTGTGTTGATCAATGATGCAGCACTTATTGCCGCAATGGCCGGGCGGGGGGGGGCTATTGTGTTCTTCGGTGATGTTGTGGTCCGAGGGAGCAGCCGAGGGTTTAGCGGAACCTTCTGATGAAGCATTCAGGTTCTGTTGGCTTTCAGGCGGGGGGAGCTTGTTCCAGTTCGCAAATGTAGTCCGAGTGCTAGTGCGAGTGCAACTGTTGGACTATCCTGCGCGTGTATAGTTTACTCGGTGGTCTTGACGACTCCCCTGTACAGGTCGTGTCTGTTCCGCTACTCCGGGCGCCCTTTGACCCCGATCTTAACCTCTCGGCTTTGATGACAATGTCATGCAAAATACTTGAAATCCCTGTAGCCAAGCCATGATCCTTTCGTGAGCAAGTATGGCATGGCCGCACGCATAACCAGTAACTTATTAGGTAAAAGCATTACGACTTCTGACTCGACGCAGTTCATGTTGCCTCTGCTATGCGATTTTTCTGTTTGGTACGGACAGATACAATTTAAAAACTCTGCACTGGCTGTCATTGGGCATCTCTGGTTGACCGAGGAGCGACGCGAAGGGAACCCGTTACACGCATTTCAAGCTATCTGTTTTATTGGTAAACTAACCACCAGAGCCGCTTCATGCGACATCTTGTGCGGACGGACGGACGGAAGCAATGGCTCACAACCGCGACTCCGCAAAACTGTCTGGCAACACAAAATTCTATAGATCTGGACTCCTGGAGAAACTTTATTGTAATCCACAATAATCTGCTGAGAAAAGGTAGCTCCACTACTTCCCTAGCTTTTAAGGCGACCAGGCTTAACATGTTTCTAGATCATATGTTATTCGATTAAACTCTAAAGACGACAGACTTAATATGTATGCAACGTAGAAGGCATTCTGCAAGCCAGCAGTCTTGCGTGTCAGGGGGTTAACCTCTTGAGACTCTGCAGGTAGTACGCAAGGGCAAGGGCAACCAAGAACTAACAGTTTCTATTAGGGGAGGATTAGGTGATAAATGTTGGATACCGACAGTATAAGTTTGGTGGCCTACTTCAGGTTGTACGGAACCCAAAGCGAGCTTGACAGCTGTAACACCAGCCCATGGTTATTTCGAAGTGCCTGCCTCACCACACCTTATCACGCTCTTCTTTATGATCCACAAGGGCAGGTGGCAGCTTGTTGCCTCATACTGTACCTGAGGGCCTCCTCGCAGTCCCAGCGCAGCACTTTGGTCTGTAGTGTAGACCTGATGTTGGTTGGAGGCCACCTGCATTTTACCAGCCTACCGAGATTCACGGGACCATCGATTCTGCTGTGGAGTTGCGATGAGCTTGCGGTATGTGCAAAATGTGCAAAATGGCCGCCACCTTGTAATCCCGTCAGAGTGATACGTTTCAAATGAAACCAATTATCTTTACGCAGGACTGTTGATGCTTCATGCAGAGCGGCGTGACATAGGTGCGAGGACATGTCGCCTGCCGAAGCCGACCATGCGAAGTCTTCAGGAATAATCTTAATTCCTAGAGGTTAGTTTTTTGGGTGTGCATTTGATCTGCAAAATCTTAGGAACTTCACAGGATTGTCCGACCTTTGCTCGCGCAACGGCCTGCCGCGGGGCCAAGAGCAAGCTCATGTTACTATCGAACGCATTCTTGCGTTCTGCGTCCACATTCCGTGGACACTAACAGCTAGGTAGTCGAACAGTTTCAACCGTTCCGAACACTAATCCGAAGTCCCATTCGCCCCATTCCCGACAGGCATTGCCGAATCCAACAATTTGATCAAGCCCATCCCATAAGACCTTTCAACGACAAGATCTAAAGACACCCTGCAGCAAGAGCCCTTGCCTCTGGAACCTCCGCCGCCACCACAACCAGCGACCCACGTCATCATTATCGCTAGAAGGTGGTGAGTGGTTGCGACCTTTTTAAGTTAAAGTTAAATTATGACATGGTGCAAGTGGATAGTTGAGTGTTCGACCGAGGATTGGTTGACGTGCATGAGACGAAGAGCACCCATTCTCCGTACCTTAGGTTATTAGCTGTGTTTGTCTATTTACATGTACAAGTGCTTACATTGATCAACCCTAATCAACCGTTTCTCCGCAACGGCCCGCATGTGATCGGTGTAACGCATCTGGCTGGACTATCCAAAATTGTCAATATCATGTAATTAAAGAAATATATATGGACAACACATAGATCTACTAAGATTAGTTTTATTTCTATCTTGTCCCTAATTGTTAACCCAATTACTTTTTTAATAAGATCTGATCGGTTTTATGCAATACAGAATTATCACCTTATTATTTTTGTTTTCTTAAACTATGAATATGTTTTGTTTTTAGTGCAAAGAAGTTAATAAAAAGCTAAATTGTTACGGCGATTAGTAACCTTTGGTTAGGCCCGCCGGCCGGGCCGGGTACAACAGCCTTTGCGACCGGGCACCGGATCCACCGCAAATTTCCGACCGGAAAGGTGCTGCCCGACGCCCCAACCACGTCCTAGTGATAAAATATGACCATAGCGTTTGGAGCTACCAGGCCGACGCGCGCGGTTTTGTGTATGATTGGGTTGCTTTGTGACTCATTGACACACACACACACACACACACACAGACACACAAATACACACAAATACACACAAATACACACAAATACACACAAATACACACAAATACACACAAATACACACAAATACACAAAAATACACAAAAATACACAGACACACACACGGGCGCACGCTCGCAAATGAAGACAATATTTTTTGTTTCCTTGAATTGGAGTTGAACCGTCCGTAGGTACACCTCACAGTCCGGTCACATGCAGATCTGAAGTTTTGGGTAGACAAAAGGGGTAACAAAAGCAATGATGAGAAGTTCTGTCTGTGGCTCTGGTGCCGACGGGGCAAGTCTGTAGCGCGGGGACTCGCGACGGTGGCAGGCAGCCCGAACGTCAGCAGGGTCCGATAAGGGCAGGCGGCTACATGAGCGATACAATGCGCGATGCCACCTCCTTTCGAGGATTGTACAAGACAATTACTTGAGCTGTGGTCGTCTTCCCCACCATACACCCCCCGGCACTAAGCCTAACTGCTGACAAGTTGCGAAATGAAAACGCAACGGTCTGGCCTCAGGTATCGTTACCCGACGTCGTTGTCAGGCGATGATGCGTCTTGACTATACAGACCCGTGACGTATGGGGATGAAAGTTCAGGCGAGGCCCTAGTCCACACATCCACCCCTGGACCCGCGTTTCTCGCCACGCCGCTCCCTTACCCCTTCCCCCCCGCGTTACCTTAATCTCCCCTTCGGTAACCCTTTGGTGTCCCGAATACTAAATATTATAAAATTTTATAAACTTTTCTCTCTTGATTAAGCATATTATTTTGTTTTAAAATCTTTTTTGTTTTTTTCGCTCTTGGTTAACGATAACCCGAGGGATGACCCGGCGCGCATTCCCCGAAGGGGACACTAAGACTAAATTTAGTTAACATTTTCGTTTAAACGAAAATGTTAACCAAGGAATACGGTAGAAACTAGAGGAAGGAAAATGCTTAAGGAAGGAAAACTTAACACTGACTAAAAATGCTTAGTACGAAACCTAAAATTCTGCTGGCCGAGAAGACAACCTAGTGACTCATACTTCGTCTCCCTTTGTCGGGGAACGAACACTTGCGGGGGACCTTTGGCCCTTCCTTCCCAGGGTATGCTGATGCAGAGCGCAACAATGCTGCGCAACGGGGCCCTTACATTTCCTTGTCGGACTGATTGACGCGGGCCGCCTTGTCAGCTGCTGCCTCTGGAACCTCCGGCCCCAACACAACTAGCAGCCCACATCATCACCAAGGTGGTGGGTGTTCTACGACCTTTCGAAGCTGCCTATGACATGGTGTAAGTGGATCTTTGAGTGTTCGACCGGGGATTGGTTCACGAAAATATGAGGAGAGAGGAGGGCTGGGAAGGGTAGGAGAAGGAAAGGGGAGGAGGGGGGGAGGGAAG